AGGGAACTATCCACCCCATCTCCACGCCACCCATCGCCACCATCGCCACCACCACCCCTTTCTGGCTAATGGTCCTTCTAGGTGTTTTCCAAAGCAAGAAGGGACTCAGAGGGTGGCAGGTGCTGGTTTGGGGAAAAAAAAGGAGAAACACTTTGTCGAAAGCAACCAGGGGCCCTGCCTTGGAGTCTGAACAACTTCCCTCCGTTTGCTGCCTAGTGCAAGGGAGGAGGTATGCATGCCCAGAGACTGGAAAGGGGCCTGCTCGCTCCCTAACTTACAGGCACCCATCCACCACGGGATGGAGCTCAAGGAAAGCTCCGGGGTCTCAAGTCCTCTGTACCATGCTACCTGTCCTCTCTCCTAAGGGACTCTAAGATGGAGGGCCAAAACTCAAAGGGACGATGGTTTTCACCACAATCCCCAGGAACTCGATGTCTCAGTGTCAACTGTACAGGGAAGTTTGGTGTGCGCTCGGCTCCCATTTCCTGGGCCGAGCACGACAGCACTTGAAGCCAAAAGCTCTGAGCCAAGTTTGTCGGACACACCTCACAGCTGTGATTCCTCTTGAGTGAGGCTGATGCGGTCTGGTCCTGTCACTTATAAGGTGGTGGCCTTCACAGGACTCTGCCAGCCTCAATGTTGTGCTATCCGCCTTTGTGCTGTGCAGCGGCCTAGATCTTGTCCTCCCAAACAGGGAGGTGGAGGTCATCCAGCCAAAGACACAGGCAAGCAGCCATGTGCTTTTCTCCTTCTAAGCCTTACTCTTCCATTCAGCTGCCACACCACAGTAAGTACCAGATGCAGCTGTCTGCTTCTTCAGCTCAAGCAAGTCTAGAAGGGAGACAGCCAGGAATGAATGACGGAAGTGACAGCTGATGGGCTGTGCACCCAAGAGGTAGAAGAATAATTAGTCCTCAAGCCATTTTACCACAGGATACAAAAATGAAGGCTCACAAACAATGATTTTGAGATAAGTGAAGGTTAAATTGTATCCTGATCCTTGTGTGCAGATCGCAAAGAAGTAACACTTTAAAAAATGTATTACATTTTTTAGACTAGGCTTATATCTCAATGGTAGAGCATTGCCTTTAATACATAGGGCCCTTGGTTCAATACACACACACACACACACACACACACACACACACACAGACACACACACACACAGAATACAGGCAAGTACAGTCATGTAAGCCTGCAATACCAACTACTCCAGAGGATTAAGAGTTCAAAGTCTGCCAGGCAGTGGTACAGCAAGATTTTAGTCCCAGCTCTTTAGACACAGAGGCAGGTGGATCTCTCTGAGTTGGAGGCCAGCCTGGTGTACAGAGCAAGTTCTAGGACAGCCAGGGCTACACAGAGAAACCCTATCTCGGAAAACCAAAACCAACCAACCATCGAAACGAAGTTCAAAGCCTGCCTGGGCTACAGAGTAAATTTTAGACCAGCTTGAATAATTTGGTGAACTGTCTCCAAGCTTAACACGGGGCCATGTCCCTGAGCGGTAGGGTGCTTGGCTGAGAAAGAAGGAAAGAAACAAGGAAGCAAATGCCTACCCAGCACTTCGGTACCCAGCACTGCAGTGCCCCGCATGCTCTCTCGCACCTCCCACGGGTTTGTCTATCTTGCCAGCTAGTGCTATAACTTTGTTAGCTGAGTTTTGTAGAGAAGCTCTGCACTGGGCACTGTGGCACACACACTCCCCCAGCCCTCGGGAGGCAGCTGTCTTTGGGTTCCACTGAAGCCTGTTGCAGTGAGTTCTAAATCGACCAGCAAGGGCTACGGTAGTGAGACCCTGTCTCAGAAAAGGAAAAAAAAAAAAGAAAAGAGTGAAATGTGTAGACAAGGCAATTTAAATCATAGGACAATGTTAGCAGATACAGCTGGTGTGGGGTTCGAAGATTCTTGTCCTTAGAGGAGACACATTTTTTCATCACACACAAGCCTCTAGGTTCCATCAGGGTGTGCCAGGGCCACGATCAGGCTGCAGGCAGAGGGAGGTGGGGAGGACAGTGCAGAAGAGAATGGGAAACATGGGGCACAGGCTGGCCTGGGACTTGGAGATGAATGGGAGATGGCGCTGGAGAGAACTGAAAGGCTGCCCCGTTTCCCTTTAACCTCCTCCCTGGATAGACTGTTACTCCTACTGCCTCCTGTGGCTAAGTTTAGATTGGGGACTGGAGGCATTTAGAGTAGGGATGGGAGCAAGCAGGGTCCAGTGTGGAGGGAGGTGTTACTTCAAACAAAAAGCAAATGCCTCACGATTCTGTGCAGCCCTCACATAGAGAGTAACCTCGCCAGAAACAGCAGCGCTCAACTATGGACATTGTGTTGCTTGAGCTAAGGCTCCAGGTCTTAATCATGGCTAAGCCACTTTAACCCTCAGAGCCTCTCCGCTCATTGCCATAGAAGGACTGTGTCCCAGGAGTTTTGTAAAGATCAAATGAGATAATGGATGTCAAAGACCTTTGTCAGCTACCAAATACTGTTTACATGAAAGTCTTTATGGACACTGAGAGCTAGACAGCAAAGTAAGGTCCGTCTTCACCTACATGCCTCTGATACACTCAGAGAACAGTCATCTGAGAGGTGCCAGGTGAGGACTGAGCATTTGGCTGTAGACAGGCTGAGGGCAACAAAGTAGTGGCTATAAGAGGAAGGGTCTCAGTCCCCAAGCTGGCAAGCCTACCCTGAGTTCAGGCCCTTACCAGTTAGGGACTCTGCCAAGACATTCTGACTCTTGCTGTACCAGCTGCCAGCCATCATTGTGCTGTCACTAAATCCCTCCGTTTTGGGGAGAGCAACATCAGGTGTAAAAAATGAGGACAAGGCAGAAGTCCGAAAGCAGCCTAGCTGTTGCTGCTTCTAGAGTTTTGTCTGAGTGGAATGTTTTATTGAACAGGGGAAGAGCCTTGTCCAAGGGACAGAGGTCAAACCACTGATTAAGAAACCAATGGTGTGCACCTGCAATGCCAGTTACTTGGGAGGCAAGGGGATCACAAGTTCAAAGTCAGCCTGGGATTACAAGTTCAAAGTCAGCCTGGGATCACAAGTTCAAAGGCAGCCAGTTTAAATTGGTGAGATCTAACACAGAGAGTACTAGGGCTGGGGATAGATCAGTGGTAGAATGCTTGCCTAGCATACATGAGGCTTGAGGTTCAACCCCAACACTAAGGGGTAGCGGGGGGTGCAGGCTGGAGGGCTCACTCATACCTCAAAACCTAAGAAGGGTCTTAGCTTCAAGTACTGAGCTCTGACAAGTAGAATGCAGACAGCAGCCCTGGAATTTGAAAGGCAACCCCAGCCCCGCCACAGGACAGCCCACCCTGAGAGCCCAGAAGCATGTTCCTGTCTCAAGCATCTCTGGCCTTGAAGAAAGGGTGGGACTCTTAACACCTTTTTGCCTGTCTAGGCTGCTGGGCAGCATCACAAGTAGGATCCGGTACCAGAGGAAAAGAGAGCACCTCTCGGGTGGAGGGAGCTACAAGACCCCTGGACCCCATGATCAACAGTGGTTGTCTTTCACTTCCTGTGAGACTGACAGTTGGGGCCCAGCTAGGTGTGGGACTCAGGCAGCCCAATGTGGTTATTCGCGCAGGCTCTTCTGGCCTCCCCTCCCCGCCACTGTTTCCATTCTCACCATGCAGTCCGCCGCGCGTCCGGGTCATGCACACAGGAAAGCAGCCGGGGCTTTCCAAGGGACTTCTGAGAAAGCCAGTGAAAGCTTAGGTGTTGGCTCAACAGCCTAGGCCCTCTTGGGGAAACCTTGTTCCCTCCAGGAGGTAAGTTCTGGCCTGGCAGTTGCTCTGGCTATCCACCAAGGCCCCTTTCTGAGAAGGCTGTTAAAGAGCTCAACACCTATGCAGCTTTTACTTTAGATGGCTGGGCTAGAGAACTTCAAAGGCTCAATCTGGAACGGAGGGTAATGACCTATTCACTCTGATGACACAATGAAAGCACTCGTGGGGACCTGTGAGTGGACGTGAGTGGCCTGGTCACTACCAGCTTGCTTTCCATGGGCTGGGATGAGACAAGCACAGGGTCGAGAGAGAGCCACCGGGTCAGCAGCTCTTCCTTCTCACACTTTCCACAAGGGACAGTAGCTGAAGGCCTAATGCAGGTCACTCTGCTAACAAGATAGCATTCCCCCAGCAGGGAAGTTCTGGGCATCACCCCCAATTGTGACTAATTGCGAAGATGGTGTAAATATTGAAGAATACCTAATAATTGGAGATCAAATTTTACACGTTACTCTTTATTAGTATTTGGCTTTTTGAGACAGGGATCTCATTCCGTAGCCCAGACTTGACCTAACCCTGAACACCAGCTTACAGGTGCTAAGATTGCAGACATGCGCCACATCTGGCCCTTTTAGACCAGCTACATGTCCTCACTCTTTACGTCCAGTCTTTGCAAATCTGAAGCAAACATGGTGAACAGGAGTAATTTCTCCTTTTTTACAGATGGGAACTGAATAGAAACCAAAATGGGACACAATTTCTGTGACTTTGGTGAGAATATACGTTAAACTTTTTATTACAAAAACCTCACATCTAGGCATTACCTAGATGTGGCATTCACATGTGGCATTACCCATGTCTCCTCCCTTCTAGGCCAGAGGAGGGCCTGCTTTCCATGGAAACACAAATACCCTACAGTGGCTGTAGACCAAGACCCAACAGCCACTAAGGTAATAAGGAGACTGTGAAATGTGACACTGGCAAAGGTACAGCAAGTACAGAGAACAAAGGGAGGAAGAAAGAGAAGTAAAAACAGGGTCAAGGGGTAAAGGTCACTAAGGAGTCTAGGGATTCCTTCAAAGACTGCTACAATAGGTCTAGAGGACAGAACACTGGATTTCCAGTCAGAAGGTTTCCCTGCTTCCTGATACACGAGCAAGCACAGCAGAACGGCTCTCCTGCAGCCTCAAAGGCAGGCCAGAGAATGGGCAAGTGAGCCCTCGCTCTGAGAAGAAAAGGGACGGAGGCATGGGCCACAGCTTTAAGTATATCCCCAAAGTTCATTTTATTGGAATTTGAACCAAAGTCCTGCCCATGGTCAAAGGCAAGGCCCTGAACAGAGGTAGGAAAATCAGTATCTTACTCTCTCCTTGATACAGCCTCTGAGAATCCACCAAGCCAGACACTCCCACTACACCAGTGGTCAGAGAAAGTGAGATGACTCAAGGGCCGGATGCAATGCTTTCACAGAAGTCTGCTGATCCAAGGGCAGGAGTGTTCAGAGCTCCGCCGTTTAATCTCACAGGGAAACAAGTACAGACTGAAGTAGAGAGCAAGACGCTGTGGCCTGCACCTAGGTCTTGATCGCCGTGTCTCTGGATTTGTAGGCCACTCCTCGGCTTTTCAGCTCCCGCACGATTCCTGTGACAGGAAAAGAAACAAGCCCATGAGAGAGTCTCAAGGATGAAGACCCCTCACCTGCCCGCCACTGGGGTTGCCTGACTATCACTTAATTTATAGGCAAAGAGCTACCAGGGAAGAAGTGGGGCTCACAGGGTCATCAAAACCCAGAGTTTGGAGCCAAAATGTATGGGTGGTAACAAGCAAGTTATAGGTTGTTGGAGGGCTCTGCTGCTGAAGATTGCAGCCTCCATGACCTAGATATCTTGGTGCAAGATGGAGGACTCCCTTCCCCTAGTGGGGCTTCTTACTCTCTGCCTGTCCTTGTTTGGAGGATGTCCCTGAGCTAGATAGGTGGCTTATTGTAGAAACAGCCTCTGACAGTTTCCTCCAGAATGCTCCCTGGGCCCCCTCCCCATATGATAATTAGATAGTGAGCCCTTGGCACTGCCAACAGGACCATAGTGTTTAATGCAAACAAAGTACACAGCGAACCCCTTATCAGACTACCTCCTGACTGCTTCCCCTTTCCTATTTATTTCCCTCACCCCTGGAACAAAATTGATCTGCCTCTCTAAGGCTGGTCCTGTAACCGTCATTCCATCATGCTCCCCCCACTTCTGCTCCTCCCATCCTCGTGGGCTGGTGGCCAATAGACCCTGAGTAAAGAGGAGACCCACAATTGGTGTTAATTCACATAAAAGGCTGGCTTCCGCTGGGCCCAGCACAGAAACACTGTTACAACTGTCATTACCTTGGGGCAGGCGACCAGTGACTGACACAGCATATACACCCGGCTTAAAATTACCTGAGGAAGAAAGATTAAAATGGGAATGAGTTAAGACTGGAGACCAGGGGCTGGAGAGATGGCTCAGAGATTAAGAGCACTGTCTGCTCTTCAAGAGGTCCTGAGTTTAATTCCCAGCAACCACATGGTGGCTCACAACCATCGATACTGGGATTTGATGCCCTCTTTTGTCATGCAGGTATACACGCAAATAGATGCTCATGTGTATAAATAAATAAATCTTAAAAAAAAATAAAGACAGACTGGAGACCAATGGAGAATTACGTCAAAAATGGAAGAGGTAGGGGTGTGTGTGTGTTGTGTGTGTGCACACGCATGAGCACATTCCATGGTTCACATGTGGGGGTGAGAGGACACCATACAAAATCGGTTCTCTCCTTCTACCACGTGGGTCCTCAGGATCAGACTCGGGTTGTCCAGCCTGGCATTGCTGAACTATCATGCCAGCCCCAAGGCTCGACCTTTCTATAATCCCCTCTTTCCCACCATAAAACTGCACACTGTGCTGATGTAAGACATCCCTTTGGACCCTCAGGCGCATTCCCAACATGCACAGGCCAGGATAGGAAGACACTTACTGACGCGCTGCCACTTGGAGACCCAGCTGTCCTCTGGACTCATCATTGCAATGATTCTAGAGAGGGGAAAAAAAAAAAAAAGAGTTAGCCTGAGGCCATCCTGCTAGAGGGGGCTACTGAGCAAAGCAACAGTCCTAGGAGAGGAACCTGAGAACTCACCACAGAAAGCTGGGAAGTAGTTCTAAAGGTGGGAAGGAGCTGACTTAGGAGGGGCAGGAGAGAGGTCCTTCAGTCTATGTCCCCGGCAGCCAGTGAAAAGAGCTTTACCCAGGCATGCCAGCACAGCCCAATTACTAGAAGTCCAGAGCCTGGTGCAAAGGAGTCAAAAGAATGGATCCCCTTACTGAAAACCTGCCTGGCCAAGCATGCCCTCTAATGAGCTGTATTATAAACATGCGCATTTCACAGCTTCTCACCACTGAGACTCACAGGTGAGACAGTACACACAAAGTGCCTACTACAGAGCCTGACAGAGTAGATGCCAAGGGTCACTTCCCATTCCAACCGTCCTTCGGCAGGTAGCTGATTCCATAGGCTGGAGCAGAAAGGCTACTCAGGCCTAAAAAGCCACTATGTGAGCAGACAGGTAATATGAGGAGCTCCGCAGGTTACTTGTTATTCATCTATTCAATCAGTAACCGGGGCCTAAACTGCCAAGTCTGTTCTAGAAACTGTCACTGCTGACTGCCTCCTCCATGGCCATTCCCTGTTTTCTTGGCAATAATGCTCAAGTCTATGATTTCACTCTCAGTCTGAGTGGAACTAATCTCACTCCCAGGAGTGGCAAGAAGGGTGAGGACAGCTACGCGGCTCTGCAGATTGATCCAGGAGAGGCAAGTACAAAGGCTCTCCCCCACCATCAGTGCCTTCTCTGCACTTTACAATCTACTCTTTCAGCCCAAAGGTCTATGGTCCTTGATACCCAAAATTTACCCTAAAGAGAATGTCCACACTTCTCAAAACATACCCAGTGGTCCTAGCCTATGCCTTTGCTTCAGTCAGAATCCTTTTATTTGAAATGTTCTATCTCATCTCAACTTCCTCCAAACTCCTATAGTTCTAGACAGGCCTGACCAGGAATGCCTGCAATCCGTTACCATGGAGGCTGAAGCAGAAAGACTGAGTCCAAGATCTATTTAGCTAACCTAAAATGTCCATGTTTCCAAAATAAGGAAAAAAATAGGGCTGATCTATTTTGGTGGCAATTATAAAGATATAACTCACATTCAGCAAGATGCCTCTTAAAAACAAACAAGCCAGGTGTGGTGCACACCTATAATCCCAGCACTCAGGAGACAGAGGCAAGTGGATCTCTGTGAGTCTGAGGCCAACCAGGGAGACAAAGAAACCCTGTCTCAAAATAAAAACAAACCAAACAAATAAAAAACACAAGAATAGAAAACCCAGAAAGTAACAGGAGGTAGTGAGGAGGGGAGAAATTAGAACCTCTAAGTACCGTTTTTCGGTTCCTCAAACGACGACCTGTTACATTAAGATGCAGCAATCCCACCCATAGACATACACCCAAAAGCTCCAAATCAGAGACTTAACCAGGTCCACGTACATCGTCTATGTAGCTGTCCTCTGCACAATGGCTGGAATGTGAGAAACCATGGCAGCAACAGATAAAAAATCTGCTATACACACAATGTAGTAAGAATAGCCAGCTTTTAACTTTATCATATTGTATGAATGTTTTGCCTGCATGCATATTTGTCCATCCCATGTGTGCCTGCTGCCCACTGATGTCAGAAAAGGGCATTAGATTCCCCTGGGACTGGAGTTATCAATGGTTGTGAGCAGCCATGCCAGTGCTGGGAACTGGACCTGTGTCCTCTGCAAGATCAACCAGGGCTCTTAACCACTGATCCAATTCTTCAGCTCCCTAAACAGGCAACCTCAATAAATAAATAGATAGATAGATAGATAAATGGATAAATGGATAAATGAATAAATGAATAAAGGAAAAGGAAGGAAGGAAAGTTTCTGGGAACTGGAGAAGCAGCTCAGTGATTGACAGCACATACTGATCTTGAAGAGGACCCATGTATAGTTCCTACCACCCACAAGGGTAGCTCACAACTGCCTATAATTGCATCTCTAAGGGGATATCAAGACTGTGGCCTTCTTGGGCACCTGCATTCATGTGCACATAGCCACAAAATATATTTAAAAAGAAAAATATATCTTTAAAATAAATAATCTTTTTAAAAAGGCTAGATTGGTAAGGATTAAAAATGTGTGTCATCCTCCCATCTCACTGGGTAACTCTTAACACAGCTAGTGCAAGCTTTCACTTATGGATGGGCGTGCCTCCATTTCAGATTTTGTATTCTTAGACCAGGTCTCATGATACAGCTGAAAGCACTTGACACTCATGTCCTTCTAGGCAGCTTGAGAGCTAGGCCTGAAGGCGGCATCAACACACCCAGCTCCTTCATTAATCAACTCTTGAATGACTAGTGAAGAAACAAAGGGATGAGAATACATGAATGTATATTAGCACACACAGGAACTAATCAACATATTTTTTGCTCAATCTTTTATTCTTCCCTAAAGGAATCAAGGTCTACCTTTATAGAAATATAACAAATACTAGGCTCAAGCCTAGCTTAAATGTCAGTCTTTAATTGGCCTGGAATGCAGAAAAAAACTTAGCAATGCTGCTGCCTTAAGGAAGAAGACCAAGCCATTCATGCTTCTCTCATTTCCCTTCCTACCCACGGGACCATGTGCCAAAGGAAAAGTCCTCTTATAGACCTCTTCAAGATTATCAGGTTTGATCCAGTGGTAGTGGTACATGCCTTTAATCCCAGGCAGAGGCATGTAGGTCTCTGTGAGTTGCAGGCCAGCCTGATCTACATAAAGTGAGTTCCAGGACAGCCAAGGCTACACACAAAGAAACCCTGTCTCAAAAAAACCGAAAATAAAATCAAATCAGTTTTGTTTTGTATTATTATTATTATTATTATTTTTCTGGCTAACTTATTTGGGTTTATGGGTGTGTGTGTGTGCGTGTGCAACCTCTCTCAGAGATCCATGCAGGCCAGGGCACGTGTGTTTTGAAGTCAGAAAACAAGTCTAGGAACTCAGTTCTCTCCTGCCACCTTGTAGGATCTGGCAATTGAAATCCAAGGTTATCAAGCCTGCCATCAGCCATCTCACTTGCTGAGACATCTAGATGGTCTTGTTTGAGACAGAATCTCACGCAGCCCAGGCTATGTAGCCGAGGCTTGCTCCGAACTTCTGATTCTCTGGCTTCTTCCTCTCAGAGGATGGGAGTATCTCACTAAGATACTGTTTGAAGGAGATTACTGTAATTGTATACCTTTACTTCCAAAACGGATCTTCATGTATCCAACATTTTTGGAGGAGCTTTAGAAATTAACCCCTGGGCTTTGTATATGCCAATTACACGTTTTGTTGCTGTATTATACTTCCAACCTTTCTGCATCCTGTGCCAGACACTGGCATATAAAATAAGCAGCCTCAACTATCATTGAACAGACAAAAGCAGTGAAGCATTGTTAAACAAAACACAGAAAAAGCAAACAGCATTTTAAATGTCCTCCTAGCCACTGTTTAAAACAATAAACATAAGATGAAATTAATTTTATCCAAATAAATCCAAAACATTGTTTCAACATTTACCTAATCTAAAAAATTAAGATTATTTGGCATCCTTTTTCTTCATGCTGAACTTTTGCTCTCTGGCATATATTTGACTCTTAAGGCATATTCTAATTTGAACTAGCCATAAGTCAAGTACTCAGTAGCTACAGGAAAGCTCACAGCTACTGGTCTGGATGCATAGAATTAGCATCTCTAAAAAAACAAAAACAAAAACAAAAACAAAAACAAAACAAAAAACTAGCTGGTCCCAGCCAGTCTTAAGACCACAAAGATCACAGACAGACTCTATGATCCTAATGGCCCCTCCGGTTTGCAAATTACAAAATTCTACTACTAATACTAAATTCCGTAAAATATATACGCTTTAGGTAACATAGCAGCATACATAGGCAAAAACAATTATTCTAAACAGACCAAGTGTATACTTCTGTGTTCTTTCTAATATGTGAACAGTGTAAATGGCGTGAGTTATAAGTAAACAAAACTTTCAGAGACACTGAACTGTAGGGGTGATAAAGTCAACAAACCATTCGCTTGTCAATAATATATGATCTGCTCCACATTTACTTCTCGGGTCACGGCCAAGACGGCGCAGAGGTGAACAGAGGGGCATGAAGAGGCTTACCCATCAAATGAAGAACTGGTGCAGTCATATACCATCTCTCTGTTGCCCTTCATTTGCAGGTATGGATCACAGTTGTCGCAACCATCATACTCAAACTGGTCTATCGTCTGCAAAGGAAAAAAAAAGGAGGGGGGAGATGAGTACGTACATGATCTTAATATTTCTAACGGCGCCAACCTCTTGATTCTCTAGATAGCCCAACACCTATTGGTCTCCAGACTATTCCCTAATTTCACCCTCACACTCTCTCATCTCTTGTCCCTAGTTCAGCTTATACACTTTTCTAATCTCTTTGGGGTCAGGTACCCTCTCCAACTACTCTCTCAGCTGCTTTGGCTCCTAGCGTCTTCCCAGCCCAACACTGTAAGTTCACCGAACATCTGCTGCGGAGCTCAAACTCGTGCTAAGATCTGAAGACTGAAAGGCAGGTGCTATCACCCGTGCCTTCAGCAGGCACGAAAGCCCTGCTCGCGTTCCTTCGACGAACGCGACGGCTCCCTTAGGGTTTCCACTCCCCTGGCAATCTCCCGGGATCTCAGATCTTTTTCTTTCCTGCCTCTCGCCCCATTTCACCCTTTCTCCCGTTTTGCCTCCCCAATCGATCCTACAACCAAGGCCCCGACGGACACCTTGACTAAGGAGCACAGCAAACAAGCCCGCAGATGCCGGAGGTCCTTCGGCACCGTCTCCAGGGCCATCTTCACCGACACGACGAGATCACAGGGAAAGACAGTCACAGGTTCCACAGCCGCAGGAAGTAAACAGACCAGTACCCAGAATGCCCACCGCTTCCTGTACGTAACTTCCGGTTCCGGTGCAGGCGGCCGTCGGCCCCACCTCCACCCCCCTCCGGAGAAGATGGTTTCTCCCGCAGGGGGCGTGGGCGGGGCAGCCACCTGGGCCGCGCGCGCCTCCGTCACCTGGACTCTCGAGAGCGAGCGGAAGACGGTGCGCTGGGGGCGGTTGGGCCGGTAGGGGCGGGACAGCGGGGTGCGGCCGGCGCATGCGCAGGAGGCGTGGCGCGGAGCGGCCGGCGGAGCTGAGCGCCGTACCTCGGGCGTTTTGATGGAGATGTCTGGCTGCAGGCCCGGATTCTCTCGGGATCCCTAGGGAGGACCTAGATTGTTTTGTCTGCTTGTTTTATTTCGTTCGCTTATTGAGACAGTAAACGGTAATTCCCAAGCTGGCCTCCAACTCTTGGAGTACCGGACGGTGACCTTGAATTTCTCTTCAGCCTCCCGAATGCTCAGACTACGAGCCTGCCGCTTCGCGCTAGGATGTTTTAAAACTTGAGGCAGTGAGTCCTTGCCACTTCTGGGTCGTCTGCGGAGATAGAAAACAAACCCGGCGAGGCCCCACCCCTCCTTGTGACTGCGAGAGTGGGATAGGGTTTCGTTTGCGGTCCGCAGGAATGTTAGCCTGAGCCGCGCCGACAGGGTTGCGCGTATTTAATTCCTCCTACAAGCCTCTCGTTTGCGTGTCCTGGCTGATAATTTACGCTTTGTAAAACTCTTGGCACATTTAGACATAATTCCATGAGAACATCTGTAGATTAAGGCATCTTCTCAAACGCCCCCCTCCCCACGTCAGCTGCTGCTGATTTGTGTAGGTCACAAAATTCCTTGCCTTCTGAACTGGGCACCCAAGACACCTAGTATCCTGAGCAAATCACACAGAAGAAGCACAAGGGATGGTGCAGTGTGAGTAGAGTAAAGGCTCTTCCCGACCATAGGGAATTTGTAGAGGCCGCCAGATCCTCAGAGCCTTTTTGCGGGGACCCCCCCACAGGATCTCATGCAGAAAAGCACCATTTTTCTTGGAGTGTAGACAAAGTGTAGACTTTTGTGTTTATCTGAACTGGAGCGTTGGGATATAAATAGTCGCAATCCCTCCTGTTCTGTCCTTACAGGCCTTTTAATTGAAACTAAACTACAGCAAGACTGATTCTTGGCTTTGTCCCAAGCTGCATTTTAATGGAGTCACCGACTGGGTTTTAGATAACTTCCTAGCACTGGGAAAAAGCTTTCCAGTTTGGAAAATATTTTCATTGTGCTATCTCCTGTCAGTCTTGTATCAGCTCTGAAGGAGGATCATTTTATTTATGGGAAAAGCCAGGCACCCTGCTGGGAAGCTGGCTCAGGATCCACCACATAAAAGCTGGGCATAATTGTATGCTGAAAGTATAATGACTGCACTGGGGGCCGGAGATCTGCGGATCCCAGGGGCTCCAGGCAGGGTCATTGAGAGACTGTGTGTGTGTGTGTGTGTGTGTGTGTGTGTGTGTGTTTTGAAACAGTCTTTATTATGTAGCTCTGGCTGTCCTGGAACTTGCTATGTAGGTCAGGCTGGCCTCAAACTCACACCTGAATACATGTGTACACACACATACAAGATACAGTATTTGCTTATGGTCACAAAGTCAGTCACTGATATAACAGACTGATCAGCAGTACAATACAGATAAATAACTGAATTGTGATGAAGGTCCAGGTATGCTGCACTCGCTGATCTTACTGGGGATTTAAAACTACCCTACCTTGACTAGCTTTTGATACCACCAGTAACATACAAAGCCAGACATCCCTATGATCCCAGTAATGGGGGCGGGGGGATGACAGGATCAGCTAGCTATGCAGTAAATTGGGGGTCATGCTGGGCCTCCAAAGTCCAACAAAAGGAAATGAAAAAGATGAAAATGTTATCCTGAGTGAAAAATCATAATGAAATAAAACCACAAGCCAGATCATATTTATGGATAAATATATTAGCAAATAAATACATTTGTCAACATAGTGCCTGATTCAAGCATCTTTCTGTCTGGTTCAGATATAAATACCCATGTGGGTGCTTGGGTGCCAATCTCCCCATTGACTTTGAGGAGAGAGGGTTCTTAAGTACAATCCCATGCCCATTTTGCCCCCACATTCACATTCCAGGCAAGGATATAGCCTGAGGGGCTAACAATGGCCAGGATGTCCTGGGATGAAGAGCTACAGGAGGCCTCTCAGTTCTTGCCCACTTGGTACAAGCTGCCCACTTGGTACAAGCAGCCCAGGCCAGCACCCAAATCCACATGTACACCTTCTGTTGGGTTATTGGTTTGTATGGCTTATATTGGGAAGGTTGGCCTCTGGGCCCTGCAGACCCATGAGGTCATGTTATCATTCTCCATCTTTGCTCTGAGAATCAGAGAATTTTGTCCTTGTTCAGCTAGAATTCTGCCTTTATTTCATCTTCCCTCTTCCCAGATGAAGTTTAGTAGACACTCCTTTTTGCCTGCCTTGTATGTAGAGACAGGAGATCTTTAAGGAACAGTTATTCCTTCTATCCCTGTTCTCTACCTCAGAGGAACTGATGTTGCTGGAGTGACAAGGAGTTTGATAATCAAAAGTTTCATCCCAGGTCTGTCAGAGCCCCCACCTCTGGACTGAATTCTATGCCCTGGGCTCCCTGAAGCCTGCAACTCTTAAGATCAGTGTTGGGGACAGGCAGGAAGAACCACCCCTCCCTGAGCACCGAGGAGGCGACAATGGCTGGAGGAGGTACAGAGACCTCTCTAGGGACTGGGCTCACCTAAAACTCCTTTTGTGAAGAAGGAAAAAAATGATAAAGCTCAAGTTGGCCCCGTGAAGCCTTGAAAGGAGCTGAGAAGTGGCCACGTACTCATCTGAACCGACTGGCTCGTGTGAACATGAAGCCCGTGGCAAAGGAGACCCCAAAGGGAACCCAGTGGGCCTGGGGAAAGAGCAGCACCTTTGGGACGCCTAGATATTCACTCATAGCTTCCCATCAAAAAACAGCCTTTAGAGATCCACTCCACAAATGCACACTAGCTGGTTGTCTGGCTGGACACAGGCTTTCTGCGCTGCAGGTGTGTTCTGCAGACAGGACTGTGATCCCGGGGCAGGACAAAGCACCTCCTGCCACCCACCAGTGGTCCCCGGAAGTATGTATGACAGATGCTCGCTAAGGTCCTTGCTCCTCCCAGGAGCAGGACCTGAGTCATCTGGAACACACTCTTGGTTGGCTGAACCTCTCACGTCACACAGCCTGTTCACACAGCTCTTCCAGCTCCTCCTGCGAGCCTGCATTGAGAAGAGAGGGGAGAAAAAGAGGTCACTGACGGTCCAGCTGGTCTCCTGTGCTTCTCCCACCTGTGGAGACTGGCTGGGAAGGGACCACGGAGAGGGAGAAGCAGGAAGTATGTCTGGAAAGGTGATTAGGTTGAAAGCTGAGAGGGGCCCCCTGGGGAACAGGAGAGAAAAACAAACCTAGAGAAATACTTAACAGCAACTGCTGTGTGACCAGTACTTGCTATTCATTCATTCACCTGATAAATATTTATTAAGCATTCATGGTGAACTTGGCTTGCTACCATTTGCTGAACAGACTATCCAAAATAAGAAGCTAAGAGAGAAAGCATGCGTGCACACGGATATTATGACAGCAGGACAGAACTAGGGTCATAAGAGAGGCAGCTGGGGCGGGAAGCACACCCCGGCACAGCTGTGAGGAAAAGACTCTGATGGTGAAGGTGTGGGAGCTGGTTTTACAGGAACGTTAAGAATTGGGTTTGAAGAGCCGGGGAAGTCAGTGGGACATTCCGGGCAGCAACAACTATAATTGGTGCTCACCCAACTTGACTGAGGCAGAGGGCAGAGGGACAGAAGGGAGGTAGTGAAGCTGGATGGTGCTGGAGCCCTGAAAGCCACATTAGGTGGGATTTCTCCTGCTGTGACCCTGACAGTAGCATGGAGGGGCAGAGGGGGCTGTGCTGCACAACAGTATGGGACACCACACTAGGTGTGCAGGCCTTTCGCTTTCAAGGCCCTGTCAGGGGCAGGCTCCTGCTTTTACCTTCAGGCTGTACTCCATATGTGGAGGAGCCGTCAGTAGTGGACTTGAGACAGAGCTGGCAGAGGCACAGCACAGGAAACAGTGGATGTAAGGATCAGGAAAAGGGAGGCACCGAGTTTAGAGCAAAAGGTGGTCTGACTCTGGCAGCACTCGGATATGACAGCCCAAAGGGAACCATCAAACACCTGCTCTGTGCTCACACCACACGACTGTGGACACTGTCATCCTCCACATTTTTTGCAAGTCTGTCTCCCCTTTGGACCTGGGTCTCCTGGATGACAAGCTCCATGTCCTCAGAAGCCTGCTTAGGACCTAGCACATAGAAAGCTACATGTAATCAGGAGAAGGGAATGAATGAATGAAAGAAAGAAAAAAAGAAGGAGAAAGAAAGAAAAGAAAGTTCAAAGAAAGAACTTCTCAAGTCCTGCCTCTAAGATTCCAGGCTTTATATTTCAGAGCTTCTGGGGTCCTCTTTTGAGGTAGAAGGGTTGTTTTTATCAGTGGCTAGAGGTGCACAATTCAGCCAGTGTCTCTCAAAGGTGGGAGGGAGTGGGAGGTAGAGAGCCTCCTGGAAAGGAAGGATGGTTGTGCAAAGTGTTGGTTTAGAGCTGAGGATTTACAGAGTTCCCATGAAAGTGTGGCTGGCTTTATTAACCAGAGTGCTTGGAAGAGAAGCCGTAGTGGTTCTTTTTTTCTGTTTTGTTCTTGGCTTTGGTTTTTGGGCTTTTCAAGGCAAGGTTCCTTTGCATAGGTCTAGCTGTCCTGGAACTCACTGTAGACCAGGCTAGCGTCGAACTAGAGATCACCTGCCTCTGCCTCCTGAGTGCTGGGATTAAAGGCGTGTACCAACACTGCCAAACACCTTAATGGTACTTTTACCAAAATCTAAGGGCTCCTAAGGAAGCTGGGATCCACCTATGATTTCTGTGCTTCAGCTGAGTTGTAGCCTCCTCTGTTCACCAGCTCCTTGGCAGTTTTCATCTGGCCTGCAACATCCAGATGTACCCCCCTCTCCCCAGAATACCTCTTTCCCTCAACACTCACCAGGCTGGGCTGGCAGCACCTGGCAGTGCGGGTAAGGGCATGGCCTGCTCTCTGGTGTGTCAGAGCTCCACTTGGAATGTCCCTCTCCTGATGAGCATGGTCCCAGAGGCTGGCGGGGAGTCAGATACAACCATACTGGCTGTGGACTTGAGTAACAGGGGCCTGGGACTTCGTGTAGCAGCCTCCTATCCAGACCTGGAGAGCCGAAGATCAGTGGGTGAACCTCTGGGGGCCAAGGGTAGGCCAGGCTGGGGCTAGAGTGGGGAAAAGCCTGGCAAGCCGGGTGCACAGTCAAGTCCTGGGGCCCGGAGGTTGGCAAGGGTTCTGAGGGACCACTCCGCCGTTTTCTCTGTGTGTGTCGGACAGTGAGGCTGGATTTCTGCAAGTTCAAAAGACTGCTGGGGCTGGGGTTGGCAGCTTCTGCTAGGCCAGGGGCTGGCTCTGTAAGAGCCCTGGGCCGCTGCGGGTTGGGGAGCACTGAAGAAGCTGTTGGGTTGGATGTGGTGAACTGCTGGTCAGGGAAAGATGGCTCTGGATGAGTCTGAGAAGCAGGAGGCCTGGACTGTGGGACCCCAGTTTCTGGGCCAGGCTTTCTGCCATGCCACTGGAAGCGTTTTTTGTAGTGGTGGTGGCGGTGACGGTGATAGTGGATGTGGCTGGAAACCGTGGTCTCCCCTGTGGGCACCACTGAGTCCAGGGAACGAGGGCGAGAGGTCATACTAGGTTGCATCCCTTTCCCTTGGAGATCCCCTTCAGGGCTGCAGTATACCAAGGGGTCAAAGTCACTGCTCAGGGAGCTCTGGAAGGTAGAGCTGCTGCCGTGGATGCCCTGCAGGCTGATGTCCGTGCAGTTGACCACTGAGTCACTGGAAGAGCCATGGCAGGGCCCTGAGCTGGAGTCACTGGCTGGCCCATCTGCCAGGTAGCCACTACGTTCCGTACAGTAGCTTTCCCCAGACCCGCTGCTGTCATGAGGCCTGGCCCGTCGTAGGGCCACTGGACAAGCTGTGGGGTACTGAGAGGTACACCGGAGGCGGTTCAGCCCCCAGCCCTGTGCATAGGGGTGCTGAGGTACTGCCAGGTGCTGCTGTTCTTCTGGTGCCCGGAGATGTGAAGCCCTGGGGAGGCACTGATGCCGAGAGCCTGTACTTGGCTCCTGGGAGGGCAGGAAGGGTCTATGTCTTGGGGTCCGGACCACTGAATTCCTGGAAGGGCCCAACAGGTAGGAAGAAGGGAGATGATAATGGGCATGACCAGGATGCTGATGAATGAGGTGGAGTCTCCTGCCTGGTTCCTGGTAAGATGGACAGGCTCGCAGAGCCTGGGAAAATGAGTCTCCCTCTGCAAAAACAAAGAAGAACATGGACATCTTCTTTCAAAAACATAGACTTTATAGCGAGAATGAGCTCAGAAAGGTTTAGCTACCCTATTTGATCCTGCATAGTCTCTGAGCTCAGTTTGGGGGAGCCAAGGACATCTAAAGTACCCGTGCCTGGACTTCCTCCGCCTTTCCGTCAGGCTGTCGATCCTTGCTCCATCTACCAGCCTTATAAAGGGCCCTTTCACCCAGGGCCACCATTAGCTCACATTAGTTGTCAGTTTAGACAGACTAGCACAAGGTTCTTCTTCCTCAAGATGTTGATTTCCCTTCCATCTTTTAGAAAATTGCTATATTGATTCTATTAGGCTAAGGTCCTTTATTGCCAGAACAATAGAATAATGAATTTGTAAACAACCCAGATTTAGGAAATGAAGATGAGGGACAGCCCTCCTCAACAGACAAGGTGCTCTTGAGCAGTTCACAGCTGAAGCCGTCATGAGGCAGGTGCTTCTCCTCAGCCCCACACCGAAAAGCAGATATGTTCTACATCTGTGCGCATATTCAGGGGAGCCCACGGTCCACCTCCTACCGAGGATGTTGAACATGCAGAGGGGGCAGGTCCGATGCTGGTGCAGCCAGGGGTCCACACAGCTGCGATGGAACTCATGGAGGCAGGAAATGACGCGGAGCTCCTGAAGCAAACAAGAGTGCCCCGACCAACGGTTACAAGGACCTCCCTAACAGCCTTCTTGCAGTCACCTACTCGTAAAAGAACAGGAGGGTAATGGCAGTGTGGGCTTTGGTGGCTGATGGATTTGGGTTAAGCTGCATGACTCTGGGCAAGTCTCTCTGTTTTTGGTTTTTTTTTTTTTTTGAGACAGTTTCACGTAGTTCTTGAACGCTTGATCCTCCTTTTCCTACCGTCCCAATGCTGGTTTAGAGTCATGTACCACCACAGTTTCTCAAGTTTCTCAACAGTTTCTGCTGTCAGTAAGGATAAGGACCCAGTCTACTCTCCAACTTCCTCTGCCATGGGGCAAAAGTGAGATAATGCTTTTAAAGCACCACTGTGGCCTGACCCAAGATTCTTTCTCTGCTCATTCTTAGAAGCCAGAAAAAATGACCAAAAATGATTAGAGTGATCCCTACTGCAGAGGACACATAGGACCCTGATGTACTCTGGAGGTAGTCCTACCTAAAGCTGTCATCTTGGCCCCAGCTACCATCTCCATCCCCAGTCTGCTCCACCTCACCTGTCCCTCTGAGAACTCCTCCAGGCAGATGGCACACATGGGGGCTGAGCTGCAGCTACTCCCTGAGTCTGGCCACTCGGCTTGAGCCCGCCTACAGCTGGCTTGGTACCTCCTGGTGGCCAGCTGGCTGATGGCCCAGGCTGTCCGCTGCTGAAGAGGGTCCTGATAGGAGAAATGGAGTTCACGCTGAGGCAAGGGCTCTGCTTTCCTCTCTCCTGGGCCCGAGCTTGGACTCAGTTCCATCACCCCATTAGATCTCCCAGCCAAATGACTGCCCTGCAGGGTGTACGCCTTCAAAGCTGGGGCACAGCTGTGACCTTCCATCCCACCGCCTTGCTATATTCTAATATGCTTCTCTGACATTGGTGACTCACGAGAGAAACTTTAAAATAAACATTACTGTAGTCTATGTGAATGCGTGCTTTGTCTGCATGTATGTCTGTGTACCAGGTGCATGCCTTGTGCTCACAGTGGCCAGTGGCCGGACAGGGTGTTGGATCTCCTTTACCTGGACTTACAGACAGGAAATCCTGTGCTCACCCACTGCAGGTGTGTGCTACACCATCGTTTTCTTGATGCAGACTTACCCTGTCTTCACTAAATGCCTGCTCCTCTTTTCTATTTCTTTTCTGTAGCAAGCACATGCTACCATCAAAAAAAATTGTGTAGTTTACTTCTTTTATTATCTGCTTCCTCCCACTAGAATGAAAGTCTCTCTCTCTCTCTCTCTCTCTCTCTCTCTCTGAGACAGGGTTTCTCTGTGTAGCCCTGGCTGTCCTGGAACTCACCTTATAGACTAGGCTGGCCTGGAACTCAGAGATCCTCTTGCCTCTGCCTTCTGAGTCCTGGGATTAAAGCTGTGTGCCACCATGTCCAGCATACTCATTCACTGGAGAGGGGGTCAGTGGAGAGGTGGCACACAGCTTTAATCCCAGAACACTGGGAGGCAAAGGCAGGTGCATCACTCACTGTGAGTTCGAGGCCAGCATGGTCTACAAAGTGAGTCTGGGACAGCCAAGTCTACACAGAGAAACCTTGTCTTGAATAAAAAAAAAAAAGAGTGGCGGCATATTTGTTATTTTTACTCATGGTGCTGTTTCCAGCCCCGAAATTGATACATATCACTCATTAATATGATGAATGAATGGATGGGGAGATGGATGAATAAGTGATATGAGGAGAAGCTGCTAAAACCAACGGAGAGCCTAGAGCCTAGAGTGTTTGTTTAGATGGAGACTGTTTTGTAGCCATAAGGACACCTGTCTGCCTCGCTTTCCCCTTTCCGCCTCCACATCTACACCATGCCTGTGTCTGTCAGGCAGCCCACACTGCTCACCGGTCTGCTGCGGTGGGGACGACACCTGATGCGCAGCACTGAAGCCAGGATGATCACGAAGATGGTACCCACCACAGTCAGGAGGATCCACACGTCAGAATCTGGCTGGGGATGTGGGGGGGAGGGGATCAGAGAAGAGCAGGGTCATACTCTCTAGAAAGAGGCAGGCCAAGTTGGGAAGGAATACTGGAATAAAGAGAAGGAGCTGAAGGGCCCTGGGGCCTCCCACCTGAGGGATGAAGGGGTGGGCCTGGAAGGACTAGGTACCCTCTCAGCTTTGAGGCTGCAGGAGAGGAATCTCCAGACGCAGCTGTGAGAACTCTTATCTGGAAGGCCATGTGTGTGCAGGCAGAGAAGGAAACCATCCCTTTTTAAGGTGGGAGCTACTTGCTGCTGGAGAGCGGTGGGGAGTGGGAGCCGGGTGGGCTGGCAGGCAGGCTTCTCTGCTCTGTGCTGTGAAACCACAGCTGAAAACAGCTTTAGGACCCAACTGGCCCAATCTGTTCATACTGTAGATGAGGCTCAGAGAGTGGGAGACACGCCCAAAGACACATGGCCAGGGCCTGAGGGTGGACTAGAGGGTTCCTAGGGGTGTGGAGGAGAACTCAGAGCTGACCGCAGATGCAAGGCTTGGGCCTGGTGCGCTTACCCAGGCTGGGGGCTCCTTCAGCTCAATCTTCACGTGGGCTTTCCGATTCTTGTACACGAACTCCATCAGTTTCTCGGCGTCCGTACCCCAGATCAGCACCACTGGCCAAGTCAGCCCCAGGGGCTGCTGCAGCTGCAGAGAGCAAAGCCCCGAAAGGTCTGCTGTGACATCTGCTTCCCCCAAAACCCCACCTTCCTCCATCCAGACCCTCCCTGGGACACCCGCCTGTCCCTAGGCACCTGCTCGGCAGCTGATCGATCCTCCGTGATGTCAAAGAGCACTGCGCTGGCTCCTCGTTCGCCGGCCATTCGGGCCTACAGAAACACAGCAGAGGCGTATCTGGAGCCAGCCGAGGTCACAGCCCTGCTGTGGCTGGCTCTCAACCCTGCACATGCACACACATCTCTCTCTCTCCCTAGGATGCTGCACCCTGTACACTCACATGTATGTGTGCAAGGAGTCAGGGAGCCTGGGATCCCTTACTGACCCAGCCCACTGCCTTCAAAGAACAGCATTCAGTCTTGCATTTTGAAATGGAACACTCACCCAGGGTTTACTGGGTGCCAGATGGTGGCTTTGGCTCTAGGGTAAGATAAAACACAGCCCCTGCTCAGGGATCAAGCAGTGTGAGAACAAAAGGCAGGGAGTGACCAGCAGTTGGAGAAAGATCAAGATGGAAACAGCAGAGGAGGACCCAGACCTGCCGAACCAGGCCCAGGCTCTGGAATGCCACCTCTCAGGAGTGAGGCTCAGGCAAAGTGCTGGGAGCCTGGGACACTGTTCTGACCCAAAGCTGCCATGGCAGATTCCCCCACCTCGGAGCCTCACACGGGGTGTGTGTGTGTGTGTGTGTGTGTGTGTGTGTGTGTGTGTGTGTGTGCTCTCTCCCTGCCCCTGCCACAGTCTAGCTGGCCAACTCTTTGGTCCTAATTCAGGCCAAATGATTGGTCCCCCTCCCTTAGGATGGCCTGCTTGAGGAGGAACTGAAAGGGCTGCTCCCACAAGGACACAAGTGTGCACAGGTGCACATGTTTGGCCACCGAAGGCTCCGAGAGCATATCTAAGGCAGTACAGTCTAGCCAGCCAGGCGGCGGCGGCAGCTGCAGCAGATAACAGAGCCAAAGACAGAACAAGGGAATCTGGGGGCCTGTGTCGGGGTGAGAGGAGGAAGATAAGAGCCCAGCAGCAACGACCAACTGACAAGAACAGGCCCTGTGAAGGAGCTGCTCCAGCATGGTATCAGACCTCCCAGATTGCAGCCTTAAGGCCTGCCACCTCCCCCCCCAGGGACTGTGCTGAGTCTCTGGGGTCTTCCTGCAGGCAGTGAAGGGGTTAACTCTTCTGCAAGTCACAGTGGCAGGAAGAGGAGCCAGGGCTGGGACTTACTCACTCTCCTAGTGCTTTGATCTAGCTGTCTTCCCAGGGAGAGCCTGTTGGGGCAGGTCCCCTGCCAGGCAGGCTGGGAGCAGTTTTCTCCTCTGCTCTCTGTTCCCCTCTGCCCAAGCAGTGACAGGGGCTAATGGGCCCCTCAGAACCAGTAGCCTGCAGGCAGGGGACAGGGGGAGGGTAGTGAGACATTTAAGCAGGGCCCCTATTTTGGTTAGGATAACTTTTCTTTCTTCTCTCTTGCTCCAGGGAGCTAGGCTGGCCCCTCTACGGGGCCTGCCTAGGCTAATCGCACCTACCCCACGCCCTGAGGAAATTCACAGACTCTACAGTGGACTAGGGAAGAAATAGAGAAATTGCGGCTTCCACTGCCCTCTCAACCACTTCCTCCCAGAAAGGCCAACCACGCCAACTCCTCCAAACAAACCTCTAGGACCCTCCGAACAAGGGCTTTCCGAGCAGGGCTGGGAGAACCCCATAGGGGAATCCTACTGGTACTCTCATGGGTAAGGAGGAGTACCCCAGTAGACACAGAACTTGATTCCCAGGGCTCCAAGGTTCCCATAGCAAGATTCTAGGACCCATGAGGCCTAGCATGGGGACTCCCTTCTTTGTGGAGATTTTCTTACTTCTTCACCCTGTTCTCTTTGAAGAATTGGGGTAGGAACAGTAGAAAGCAATTACTGGTGAGGTTCAAACACCCCAGCCCATTACAGCCCATAATTACAGAGTTGTAAAAGTGATCAAAGAGCCTAGAGAGTTTGCCAACAGGAGAGAATAAACAGGACTTTCTGGCAGTGGGTTCTTGTGTCCAGAGTTTTAGGGACAGAAATCAAGATTTGGGGATGAATGACGGTCTAACCTGGGCTCTCTGTACCACCTACCCACTTGCACCAGGAGTAGGAGCTACCGACTCTATCTTTGAGGAGTGGAATCTGGAAGACAGAGAGGGTGGGTAGGCTCCTATAACCTGAAACCCAGGCCTAGGAAAACAGCACAGAGACTTCTCTGGATGCTTCAGGCTGGGCCAGGCCTTGGACCAGCAGGCAAGCAAGGTTCCACCAGGAACCAATACAGGGTGTGCAGAGAGGGAGCTGAAATCTTGTCTCTTGATCCACTAGTCAGCTGTTAAATTTCCTCTACAGACCACAGTGGCTGTTTCTGTACATTACCTGCTTATCCATAATGCAGCAGCACCTACTATGCCTGAGGTATGAAGCCATTCGGAAGGTTAAGACTCTGCAGCACATAAAACTATAATGCTCATAATATTTTAGAGAAGTGGGTCTCAACCTTCCTAATGCTGTGACCCTTTAATACCATTCCTCATGTTGTGGTGACCTCAATCATAAAATTATTTTGTTGCTATTTCATAACTGTAGTTTTGCTACTGTTAGGATTTGTAATGTAAATATCTGATATTCAGGATGGTCTTAGAAGACCCTTGTGAAAGGGTTATTTGACACTCCCCAAAGAGATTGCAATCCACAGGTTGAGAACTACTGTTCTAGAGCATGAATGAAAGCAACAATAGTTGATACTTTTCACTTCAGAATGCCCTTCAGTCTATTATCTGGTCCCCAATCTGACACAAATGCTTCATACACAAAACAGACAAATGCAAAGCAGCTCCCCCTAACGGGGCAAAGAGAAAGGGCATTCTTCCACCGCCCCGGGGCACCTCCCAGAAACACAGACTTAGCAGAACATTGTGTTGAAAGTCCATTTGGCCAAAGACTCCAATCTGCTTGGAGAAATGCTAGGAGGGGGGATTTCTGCTCCTGCAGGGCTAGGTCAGGTTGCAAAGATTCGGTGACAGTAAGCTGTGCTTGTGAGCAAAGGTAGAAGGAAGGAGAGGCGTGTGCTTCTTGTTGAGCTCTGTCCTGTACAGAGTGCCTAAGTCTGAATCCCAGCTTGCTCCCCCTATTAGATGTGAGACTTTGGGGCAACTCCCCCATGCTCCGGTTTCCTATAAACCGGGACAGTAACAGACCCTGCCTCGTGGAGCTACTGTGATGACCACATTAATTAGTCCGTGTAAAGTATGTTAGCTTGTGCCTGACGTGACATTAGCTACATCAATTATTACATATGGTTTGCATACAGGAGTTCATTCACTCCTTAATATTCCCTGAGATGGTAAGGAAACCAAGACCCAGAGGGCCTGGTCTGTGGACACCAGGGGATACAGTGAAAACTACTGTGCCATCTAGAGCTTCAGCATCAGAGTGCCTACTTTCTGTTTTGTTTTGTCTGAAGGTGAGCTCTCACTATGTAGCCCAGGCCTAAAGCACACAATCCTACTGACCGCGATCAGTATGCTGTGGTTACAGGTATGCCACCATGTACGGCTTGACAGCACCTTGTCTTAACCGCTGGGTGCTGAGCATCTTGGTCAAGCACCAAGCTGCTTGTCTCCATATCTAATTAGTTCCGTTAGGCCAAGGCCACTGTACTTGTCCAGGCATGATGGGGGATCACAGCTGCTAACAAAGCTGACACCAATCCAGGTGACCAGGTAGGAGCAGTTATAAGAGTGGAAAAGTCAAACAGAATTGTGGTGAAGGTTTCAGAGAAGAACAAGTGAGATACATAGGAAACAAACAAGCAGCTTGTATGGACTGTAATGCTCCATGGTGGAATGCACTTTTAGCATGTCGAGACTCTGGGTTCAAGCCCCAGTACCAGAAAAAAAAAAAAAAAGAAAAGAAAAGAAAAGAAACAAAGCAAACAACACCTGGTATCAAGTGACGATGTCTGTGATGACAGAATGACCTGACCACTGTCGTCATTTACTGAATGATCACTATTACGCTTGGCTTTAGATTATGAGTATACATCTGTGCTGCCCCATTCAATCCTTATAACTAGGGCAGGAGAGGTGGCTCAGTGGTTGAGAACACTGGCAACTATTTTCGAAGACCCAGATTTGATTCCTAGCACCCACACATGGTGGCTCACCTTCAGTTCCAGAGGATCTGATGCCCTCTTCTGGCCTCCGAGGGCACCAGGCATTCATGCTTATGGTACACAGACATGCATGCAGACAAAACACCAATACACATAAAATTTAAAAATTAATTCATTAAAAATAGCCTCATGGTTATTCATGTATAAGTCCTGTTATTACTTCCCTTTCACAGGTGAGGAAATGTAAGTCCAGAGGCACAGAGAGGTGAGCCAGAGTATCCGGTCACACCGAAGGGTGGAAGATGAGCCGTAGCTCAACTGTTCTAGAGCTCCAATCCTGTCAGGGATGACAGCTTGCTCTTTCCTCTCCTCTCCCCCTTCCTTCCTTCCTTCCTTCCTTCCTTCCTTCCTTCCTTCCTTCCTTCCTTCCTTCCCTTCTCTCTCTATCTCTCTCTCTCCATTTCTTTTGTTTGTTTGCTTGTTTATTTATTTATTTATTTATTTATTTTTGGAGAGGGTCTCATATATCCTAGGCTAGGCTTGAACTTGATATGTAGTCAAGAGTGACCTTGAACTTCTAATCTTCCTGCTGCTTCTGCCTCCTGAGTGCTGGGATTATAAGCATGTACCACCATACCTGACTTACCACTAATATTAAAGAAAAACCAGAATTTTGGGTGGGTGATATTCAGTTTTTTCTTTATCAAAGACCGTATCTTTCCCTTATACTTCCCAGGAGCCATAGTGTGTGTGTGTGTGTGTGTGTGTGTGTGTGTGTGTGTGTGTTCCATGAAACCAGACCAGCCATATGCACTATTCATCTTATATTATTTGTATTAACACAATGAACTTAATTCTATAAAGCCAAAGCAAAAGTAAGTGTTTGAGTTTAGCCTTTGGGACTTCAGAGATCAGAAGTGGCTGGAGCACCCTCATTACTAATTGCAGACCTCTTTTCAGTAGGGAACCCTAGGCAAACACCAGTTGGCCAGGCCGGGCGATGGGACCTGAGCGGCATGCCTGGGGAAGGAGCAGTTCCCTTAGTGAGACGCCATGGGTGATGCTTCAGCCTCCCAAGTTAACTGGACGCAGCTGGGGTTTAGGAAAGGGCACCGCTGGGTGTGTCTGTGACGATGTTTCCAGAGAGCTTAATTAAAGGGGAGCACCTGCCAAGTGTGGGCATCACCATCCCGCAGAAAGGGGCCGTAGATGGACCGGAAGGGAGAAAAGGAGAGCACCCCACAGCATTGCTTTGTGGGGACAGGGATAAGTGGGCACAGGGCTTCCTGGGACCCTGTAATATGAGCTGCTGTACCCACCATGTTCCCCTACCGGGATGTGCCGCCTCAGCATGGGTGTGGGAACACTGAAGCCGTCTACTACGGCCTGAAGCTTCTGAAAACACGAGCCAGAAATAAATCCTTCCTCTCTTAAATAGTTCTTAGGTACTTGACCACTTCGGCAGAAAGCCCAATGCGCTAGGTCAGGGTTGCATGCAGGGAAGACAAAAGCTATGGCTACTAGGCAGTAGGCGAGGCACTCCTTTGACAGCCCTAACATGCTTCTTCTTGTTGTTTTATTTTTACTTTTCTTTGGATGTGGTCTTATGTAGCCCATGGTCTTGAAGTCGCTATGTAGCTGCAGCTGGATTTATGGGTGTGCACCAACACGCCTCATTTATACAGGGTGAGGATGGAGCCCAGATGTTCATGCACACTAGGCTAACAGTCTACCAACCGAGGTATCTGTCCCCAGCCCTTGTTTTGTTTTTGAGACGAGACCTCAGCCTGCAGCCTTCAACAGCCTGAAATTTGCAAAAAACAAACAAACAAACAAACAAAACAGGCTAGTTTTGACTTTGTAGTGACCCTCCTGCCTGTGCCTTCTGAGTACTGAGATCACAGGCCTGTGACACACGCCTGGAGAGGCTTTGTTTTGTGTTTGCTTGGGTTCAAGCACTGCTGACACTTGAGATACATTACTATTCATCCTTACAGTACCCACAAGGAAGAAGAACAAACCAGAAGCTTAACAAGTACCCCAAAGGGTATATCCTCCTATGGGTCTACGCACATTCTTCTATGAGAATGCAGTCCTTGGGGCTCAAGAGATGGTTCAGCGGTTAAAAGCACTGGCTGCTCTTGCAGAGCTCCTGGGATTGGACAAAGACACCACAAAGCAACCCATAACTACCTGTAACTTCGGCTCCAGGGAACAGGGTGCCCTCTTCTGGCCTCCAAGGACACCAGGCAAGTTAGTGTATGCACTTTTGTAAGATAAAAATAAATCTTTTGTTGTTGTTTGAGACAAGGTCTCTTTCTATAGCCCTGACTGTGCTAGAACTCACAGAGACCTGTCTGTCTCTGTCACCCTAATGCTGGAACTAAAGAGAAGGGCCACGATGCTAAAAATAAATATTGATTTTTTTTTTAGTAATGTGTTCCTGCAGAGGTGGAGAAGAAAGCCTCCTGCACAGAAGCATACTTAGTGTTGGCCAGGTGTGCGCGGCCCACTCCGCGCAGTCAGACGCTGTGGTAAAGCTGCAGGAGGCGGGGTGTGGTGTGTGCACCAGCACGAGAGAGATGGTTTTTAAAGCCAGAGTAGCCTACACCATAAGACTGTCTTAAACATCAAAGGAAGTCAGGCACCCTGGGGGACAATTAAAGGTCATGCTTTCTGTAAAGTTTCCAGAATGAGCATATGCCACCACTTCTAAGAAGGTAAAGAGAAGCAGGGAAACTGTGTCAGAGCCTCTCTGAATTCTCCTCTGTCCACTCCCGCTCTCTGCTCACACTCCCACGCTGTCTAACGCAGAGCAAGCGCGGAGTCTGTGCTTCCTGAATGAAGCCCGGGCTGAAGGAGTGTTTCTCCAGATTTTGTAAAGCAGGAGAAATTAAATATCCATAAGTAGGGCTGCCCCTGGGTATAGAGGTCAGAACACAGAAACCATAACTGTCATTATTAGTGAAAGATGACAAGGTGGCAGGGAGCAGGCCAGCAACCCAGAGAGCCCAGGATAGCTGTGCCACTGCAGCCCGGTGCCGTGTTAGCCCAGTGCCACTGCGGTCCAGTGGTGCCAATGAGGCCCTGAAACTAAGGAGTGAGTGCTGCTGGGTGCCTGAACTCTCATCTAGGGCTTTTGTTTGTTTGCTTGTTTGTTTAATTTGATTTGTTTTTTTGAGACAGCATTTCTCTACTGGTCTCAAACTTGTGATGGGTCTGCCTCAGCCTCCTGACTTCTGATATTGTAACAATGTGCCCAAACCGAAATGTTATTTTACATTTGTCTTTTATTTATTTGTTTGTTTGCTTGCTTGTTTGTTTAGTACTGTTGAGACACGGTTTCTCTGGCTCTGGCTATCTTGGAACTCAGAAGTCTCGCCACCCCTGCCTCCCAAGTGCTGAGATTAAAAGTGTGTTCTTCCACCATTTGGCTTATTTTCAGGTTGTTTGTTTGTTTGTTTGTTTGTTTGTTTGTTTTTTGAGGGGGTTTTTCAAGACAGGGTTTTTCTGTGTAGCCTTGACTGTCCTGGAACTCAATTTTTAGACCAGGCTGGTCTCAAACTCAGAGATCTGCCTGTCTCTGCCTTCAGAGTGCTAGGATTAATGGCATGTATCACAATGCTTATTTTCAGTTTTTAAACATGGCAATTGGCTTACATTTTAGTGGGAGGTAGCTCTGTTTTGTTCTTGAGCTTTCGTTTTACTTTGATTTTGAGACAGGGTCTCATATGTCCCAGGCTGGCCTCACACTCACTGTGTGCCTAAAGTGACTGGATCCCTAACCACCTTGCCTTTACCCTGGAGGACTGGGATGGAGCACAAAGCACCAAGCCTGACTTTATACAACGTTAGAGAGCAAGCCCAGGGCCTTGTGCAGTCCAAGACAAGGCACTCTGCCAGCTGAGCCATATCCCTGGCCCTAATCTACACACGACCATTGTGCAAGCCAAAGCTATCTCCAAGGCCTGAAGTTAGCAAACCTCACAGGAAATGGGTAAGGTTGCAAGAACAGTAGCTTCCACTGAGTGTTTTATTTTTCTGTTTTTGAGTTGGGGTTTTGTTATATAGCCCTGGCTCACCTCTTCCTTACTATCCAGCCAAAGCTGGCCCCAAATGCACAGTAACCCTAGCTCAGCCTCCTTGGTGGCACAGATGAGTGCCACTGTCTCCTGTTCCTGTGAAAGTGGCTCAGCAGTTTCTGAGGACATGTGATGTGAGAATCTACCTTGCTGGCCAGTGACAGGCAGGGGCGAGGAGCCCGTCGAGGACTCTCCAGCTTGACGATGCTGATGAATCCAGGCTCCAGGTTGTCGTCATCACTGGCGTTGCACAGATACAAGGGGTGGGACTGCGGGGAGACAAAGATCTGGGTTAGAGGAGCTCGAGGAAGCAGGTCTGAGCTAGGAGCAAGAACCAAGCGCTTCTACATCATTCTAGGTTCCAGGTTGGCCTCTTTTTAAAATTTTTGAAAATAACTTCATCATTGTGTGTGTGCGCGCGCGCGCACGTGCGCACGCAGGTGACGGGCGGACACAAGTGTGCGTGCTATGCTGTGCACAGGGTGGTCAGACGACAAATCTCACAAGTTGTTCTTCTCCTCCCAGCGTGGGATCTGGGGGCTCGAACTCAGATTCTCAGGGTTGCACTTCAAAGCTTTACTTGCCGAGCCATCTCGCTGGCCCTCAGTAGGGAGGTCTCTTGCTACTATGAAAGGGTAGATTTTAGCTGGGCCTGGTGGCTGATGACCTGTAACTCCAACCTCGGAGGGTAGAGAGACTGAAGGTTTGCCAGAGGTATGAGGCCAGCCTGGGTTATACAACAAAAGCACGCGTGCGTATGTGTGTGTGAAGGCCAGGGGTTGATGTTTGAACATCTCAACCTATTGCTTGAGAGACTGGTTCTCTCACTGAGCCTGGAGTGTTGCCAATTAGGCCAAAATGCTCCAGGGACCTGCTTGTGTCTGCCTCCCCAGCACTGGGTTACAGGTGCGCACCACCATTCCAGGCTGGCCCTGAACTCAGAGAGTCACCTGCCTCCAAAGTGCTGGGTGGGATTAAAGGCATGCGCCATCAACACCCGGCAATATTTATTACTTCTATTTACTATGTATGAGCGCTTGCCTCAGGGTACACAGTTTGTGTACCCCATACCTGAAGGAGCCAGAAGAGGGCATCAGATCCCTAAACTGGAGTTTTAGACAGCTGTGAGCCGCCATGTGGGTGTTGGAAACCAAACCCAGTCCTCTGCGAGAGTGGCCAGGGTTCTGAGAGGAGCATCTCTTCCCCCCGGGGATCAGCTTTTTGACATGGTGCTGGGGGCTGAGCTCCAGTCCCCACTTTGTGTGACAGGTACTTTACTGACTAAGCCACTGACCTTCGTTCAGTCCTTAATTCTTCCAGCCCCGAAGGCTCCCACTGCACCACGTGAACACACTGCGCTGTGGTGTTATGATGCTAGCGTGTTCAACAGAGTATGAGGATACAGGAAGCAGAGACCAATAATTCTGTATGAGGAAGAGAGCGCTGATCGCAAGGGTGACTTGAGAGCTTTACTGCCGACTGATTAAGTATGTGTTCACCCAGAAGACCAGCAAGAGTCTGGAGAGAGTGGAGAGGCGGAGAGGTCGCTTGCTGCAGAGGAGCCGACAGGTGGACAAGGGACGGGTCGGCAGATGAGGCTGGAAAGATCACAGGAGTCAGACCTGCAGTGGGGACCACTGGCCACGAGGATCCCCTGGTGATTCAGAGAAACTTGGCATGGACAGTCCCATGCTGTGTCTGCTCCAACACAGCAGAAACTCTTGGGAGGTAGAAATTAACCACAGGAGTCCCCTGCTTTGAATAGCTTGTCCTTGTCCTTCCTTCACAGGTGCTCACACTGTAGCTCAGGCTGGCTATGTAAACTCACTATGTAGCCAGTCCTTGAAGACCCCAAGACACCCTCCACTGAGCAGGGGGCAGATCGGGAAAGGAAAATATGCAAATATTTGCCCACCACTCTGTCCCCAGTCTTAATGCAGAATTATCATCCAGAGCAGTGCTGTTGGAAGATGCCTCTGGCAAGGAGGAAGGGGAGAACCTGGAGTCAGAGTCAATTGCTGGTTCTGAACCAGCAACCAGAGGTATGAGCAGGAGAAGCAACCACCCATTGAAAGGGCCACCTGCCTTCCAAGGCTTCCCACTGTGAGGCAGAAACTGCCTGCACATATAAAGAAGAGCCTGAGGCTCATAGAAGCCAAGGCTACACAAGGCCACATAAGACTAGAACTTAGCTCATCTGACTTCTGCTGTCATGGAGCTCCCTATGAATGCAGAGTCAGGCTCTGTCAGTGGAGACAATAGTGATCATGAAGAGGATAACAGTTTGCATTCATAAAGAATGACTGTCTAAGCACCTGCTTATCACTGTGAGGTAGAAGCTACTGCTGTCCCTCCATTGAAGATGAAGAACTGAGGCACCAAAAGGTTAAGTGACAGGCCCAAGAGTACACAGCACTTGGTCCCAGCACTTAGGAGTCACAGGCAAGCAGATCTTTGTGAGTTTGAGACCAGCCTAGTCTATAAAACAAGTTCTAGAACAGCCAGGGCTCTGTTACACAGAGAAACCCTGTCTCAAAAACAAAGCAACAACAGAAGAGTACACAGCTGGTAACCGATACCATCAGGATCACAGGAAACCAAACAGGAAAAAATGCAAGAGATGGGCATGGTGTCACATGCCCGTACTCACAGCACTCAGACGGCTGAGAGAGAAGGAAAGCCACGGGGCCCAGCGGCTTGGGCTACAAGCTGTGAGCAGCTGTCTGCAAATAAATAAATGTTTACATTTGACTTTGAAAGCTTGATGTCGTCCCCCAACTCAGAACCAAATTGTTTGCCTTACTAGTTAAATGGGAGCTTTTCTGTTTGTTTGTTTGTTTGTTTGTTTGTGACAGGGGCTCGCTATGTAGACTAGCAACTTAACAGCAAGCCTCCTGCCTCTGCCCCAAGTACTGAGATACGTGTACACCCTCATGTCCAGCCAGTTATGTTTGTCAAGTCAAAAGGCCCAAATACAAGTTTCTAGAACTCTGGTGACCCCCAGGACGTTGTCCTAGGTACCCTTCACACACTGCTGAGGGGACCAACCAACCCGCGGCCACGGTTCTCCACACACAGCCTCATCTTCTATATCGAGTGCCAGATCCCTATGTCCAAATGCCCCCGAGATTCTTCTGTGTGAAGAGTCTTAAGTGAGATACCTCAAACGCAGCTGGCTCAAGCCTGAACAGAGCACTGGACGGTCTAAGACTGGCTCTCCAGTGTTTTCTGTCTCAGCATGATGTCACCTAGCGAGGGGCTATCCTTCCAGTCACTCCCAGCCTCCATTTCCTTCAAATGTCAGCATGTGAGAAATCAACAAATTGCTAAGTCCCAGCACTCAGGAGGCAGAGACAGGAGGATCCCTTTGAGTTCCAGGACAACAGCTAGAGCTACATAATGAGACTGTGTCCCCCCACCCCACCCCCAAAAAAGGAAAGGAAGGAAGGAAAGAAGGAAGGAGGGAATCACTAAATTTGATCAGTTCTATGCAGACACTTCCCCACTTTGACCCTTCTCGCTGTGGCAGCTTTAGAGATCCATCTCCCGAAGCCCCCAGGCAGAGAAGAACCATCTAGTCCTCACTCCAGTTTCTTCATAAGGTGGGAGGCTCGGGGGAGCCATTCCGTTCCCTGTCTGTGTCTTTAAGCCCGTTTCTTCCCAACTCAGCCCAGCTCCTTACACCTGCCGCCGTCATCCCAAGTTACTAGGAACCTCTGGGTTGCCTGGGTGCTCATCCCTTAGTACAGTGGTAGAAGTGGCTTCAGTGCTAACTTGAGCACGCTTGTCTCTTTCTGGAGAGCTCGAGCTGGGCCCCTCGCAGCTCTTGGGATGAAGCCTGCATTCTTAGGCGCCTGGCCTCGGGTTGGGAATAAAGGCACTTGTGTGAGCCTTGACCCTGGGGCCCACAGAAAG